TTTTTAAAAACATGCTCAACCAAACGGTTGATTTGTCAATTGATGGTAAGAGTAGCAAAACTTAGCTAATGTTTAGAACTGTTGTTTTAACATATGAAATTGACTATTTACTATTGAATATAAATAATTTAATGATCTATACATGTAAATATTACATGTTTGAAATTTTCCATGACAAATACTGTATGTTACAAAATGTTCTAATGTTTAAAGATTTACTCACTTTCTGTGATTATTTTTTAAAGTACAGTTTTAAATGACACATGGAAATCAAACCAACTATATTTCTACAATTTTTTTTTTTTTATGTTTATTAGATGGATTGCAAATCCTTTTATGGAGCAAGACAACGCACCTACCTGGCCCTTGTACCTGAAAATTCTCAGGACTCCGATGGTGAACTGAGTGATGATGACCCAATAGAGGATCCAGATTTTCAACCCAATTTTGCAGATGATAGTGATGAAAGCTGCTTTGATGTTTCCCTGGATGAAGATGCTCCTTCAACAAGTAGATCTAATAAACTTTCGCGTAAAATGAGCAAAAAAGGGAAACCTATCCTAAAAACAGTTCCCTTGGATGAAGCAGAGGATACATTAGACCCATCTTCCAAGACCCCAGCCAAGTCTACAAGATGGTACCTGCCACTCTTTGGTTACATGCTTGATCTGTCCATTGCAAATTCCTGGCTGGTCTACAAGAGGAAATGTGGACAACTAAACCAGAAACCAATCACACTCAAAAGGTTCCGCCTGGCAGTTGCGCATAGCTTGAAACAAGTCAACAAGCCAGCATCCAAAGTTGGCCGACCATCATTCAGCTCTCCACCACCACCAAAGAAACGATACACCCCAAGACCCTCACATCCACAGCCAGATGTGCGATATGACTGCTTTGGGCATTGGCCACTTCACTGTGACAAGCGAGGCCGATGCAATTACTGTCCAAAGGGCGTCTCAAGATGGAAATGCCAAAAATGCAATGTTTTCTTGTGCTTGAATGCCAGTCAGGAATGCTTTGCAGTGTACCACCAGAAGATCTAATCATCAAGGGGTATTGGTGAAGTTGCATGAACGGCAAAAAAAAAGAGCCAGAACTGTTTCAGTGTGTTCTCAAATTCTTCAGTGCAAAATGGCAGTGGTATATAATATACCACCAGAATTTTCTGGAAAATAAAATAAAAAATGTTAGTGCTGTTCCAACACTACAGTGAAAAGTTTATGTTAACAACAGGTCAAAAGTGAATTTGTATGTTTATGAATTTTCGGTAATTGCAGATCAAGTTTTTGATCAAATTTACAATATTTTTGTGTTTTATACATTTTGTGGTTTGTTATTATAACGCCCACTGTTGAAATGGAATCCAACAATGTTTGATGTTTTACTACCACAACAAAGTGGGTCGAACACAAAATTTGGTAGTTATTGTTTTGCAAAATGAGTATAACCTTTACTTTTTTCTACCAGTTACAGTGGGGCAAAAAAGTATTTAGTCAGCCACCGATTGTGCAAGTTCCCCCACTTAAAATGATGACAGAGGTCAGTAATTTGCACCAGAGGTACACTTCAACTGTGAGAGACAGAATGTGAAAAAAAAATCCATGAATCCACATGGTAGGATTTGTAAAGAATTTATTCGTAAATTAGGGTGGAAAATAAGTATTTGGTCATCTCAAACAAGGAAAATCTCTGGCTCTCACAGACCTGTAACGTCTTCTGTAAGAAGCTTTTCTGTCCCCCACTCGTTACCTGTATGAATGGCACCTGTTTGAACTCATCATCTGTATAAAAGACACCTGTCCACAGCCTCAAACAGTCAGACTCCAAACTCCGCCATGGCCAAGACCAAAGAGCTTTCGAAGGACACCAGGAAAAGTATTGTAGACCTGCACCAGACTGGGAAGAGTGAATCTACAATAGGCAAGCAGCTTGGTGTGAAAAAATCAACTGTGGGAGCAATCATCAGAAAATGGAAGACATACAAGACCACTGATAATCTCCCTCGATCTGGGGCTCCACGCAAGATCTCATCCCGTGGGGTCAAAATGATCATGAGAACGGTGAGTAAATATCCCAGGACCACACGGGGGGACCTGGTGAATGACCTGCAGAGAGCTGGGACCAAAGTAACAAAGGTCACCATCAGTAACACACTACAACGGCAGGGAATCAAATCCCGCAGTGCCAGACGTGTTCCGCTGCTGAAGCCAGTGCATGTCCAGGCCCGTCTGAAGTTTGCCAGAGAGCACATGGATGATACAGCAGAGGATTGGGAGAATGTCATGTGGTCAGATGAAACCAAAGTAGAACTTTTGGTAAACTCAACTCGTCGTGTTTGGAGGAAGACGAATACCGAGTTGCATCCCAAGAACACCATACCTACTGTGAAGCATGGGGGTGGAAACATCATGCTATGGGGCTGTTTTTCTGCCAAGGGGACAGGACGACTGATCCGTGTTAAGGACAGAATGAATGGGGCCATGTATCGTGAGATTTTGAGCCAAAACCTCCTTCCATCAGTGAGAACTTTGAAGATGAAACGAGGCTGGGTCTTCCAACATGACAATGATCCAAAACACACCGCCCGGGCAACAAAGGAGTGGCTCCGTAAGAAGCATTTGAAAGTCCTGGAGTGGCCTAGCCAGTCTCCAGACCTCAACCCCATAGAAAATCTGTGGCGGGAGTTGAAAGTCCGTGTTGCTCGGCGACAGCCCCAAAACATCACTGCTCTCGAGAAGATCTGCATGGAGGAATGGGCCAAAATACCAGCTACTGTGTGTGCAAACCTGGTAAAGACCTATAGTAAACGTTTGACCTCTGTTATTGCCAACAAAGGTTATGTTACAAAGTATTGAGTTGTATTTTTGTTATTGACCAAATACTTATTTTCCACCCTGATTTACGAATAAATTCTTTACAAATCCTACCATGTGGATTCATGGATTTTTTTTTCACATTCTGTCTCTCACAGTTGAAGTGTACCTCTGGTGCAAATTACTGACCTCTGTCATCATTTTAGGTGGGGAACTTGCACAATCGGTGGCTGACTAAATACTTTTTTGCCCCACTGTATGTCTGTAGAACTTTATGTAGTTGTACCATAGAGAGACATCTCAACCGTTTGGTAGAGGGTAATATTTAAAAAACTATAAGGTGTGTATAATTTTTTTTTTTGATTGTGATCATTATTGACCTAAAGGAATAGAAAATATGAACAAATAATTTTTTCATTGTATTTTTCTTGGTGAGGCAGTCAAAGGGTTAAAGGAAGAACAGAGGGTTTTTATTTACAAACACCAGGTGAAATGTGTAACAGTGACTCAGTGCTATGTACAAGCGTGCGGGGATCAAGCTTCCAGGGAATCCACGGGGAAAAGCAGGGGAACACTCTCACTCCTCTTCAGTCTCTCTTGGCATCTCACCAGTCATTTACTCCTCTCTCGGACCAGAAACTCCGTAGGGAACAAGGGCAGGTCCAGAGGTCTGTACACAGGGAAACAAAACGTTAGCACAAGAAGCTGAAATGCGGGAACTAGACTGTAGTGTCTAAGCCAGGATTTCACTGACACAGGTCAAGCAACGATCCAGCGAAGAGCAGTGTCACTTCTTCCCTTTAGTAGAGGCCAGTTAATGAGACGCAGGTGTTGATCATCTCCCAGGTATGTAGGCCAAAGGTGGGAGCCCACAATGAACTCCGCCCAGGCAACAGGGGGAGAGAGGGAGAGAGAGAGGGAGAGGAGGAAAAAAAAGAACACAAAGCAAAACTTCTCAGGCAGATCTGTCGGACCATGACACTTTTATACTCAGCTCTCTCTTCACCACAACAGACTGGTGCAGCATCCGCTTCACTGCGGCCGCTGCACCAATCTGTCTGTCGATCTCCGGCTCCCTTCTCCCATCACTCATGAACAAGACCCTGAGATACTTAAACTCCTCCACTTGGGGCAGGAACTCATTCCTGAATCAGAGTGGGCACTCCACCCTAAGCTGTTTAAGTTCCTTAAACAGCTGTACAAAATCCAGTAGTCTTTATCCTGTCTACATGTATCTGATAATCAGTTGTATATTTTAGTTTTTCTCATTTTCTGAATTTTTGTACAAAATAATACACAATAAATTATTTGTCCCAATTTTTAGTCAGTGTAAAAATGACATATTTAAAAACATTCAACATTGTAGACTGTTGTTGCGTGAGTTATCTACTGAGGGATGTATTTTTGTTACATCATCTCCGTTTATAACCTGTAGAGTGACAAATTTCCAAAGACAAGAAGAGAGAGCAGCTAAATTGGGTCTTAATGGTAGTGCAAACAGAGGAATGGTTAGGACCACAGCGATCCACTGTGTAACTCAAAAAACTTTCAGACCGTGGTTTAAAACTCACACATGATTCAGAAAAATAAACTGCATGTGGCATAAACGCTAATCACACTTGGCAATCTTTCTTCTGTAAAAAACTTCACATCAGATTTACAGAATAATTTATCAGAGCAGATATTAGATCAGATATTGACAGTGGCTGCTAGAATAACACTAAGAAAAGAGCAACAGTGAATAATTCATATGCTTTACACAGATGCTTAAAATATAGTAGACAAAAAAAAAAGCATTAAAAGTTCTTATTATTAGATAAATACAGGGCAACCCACATCCACAGCACTGGGATCAGCAGCTTATGTGATACCAAAAATGCAAAATGTTAGCTTTTACGACTGGTTGCATTTTAGTCTATTATTACAAGATTTGAGAACTAAAATCTTTGGCAAATTGATAAGAAAATATGGATGTGGTACACATGCAAACTGATATGAGAAATTTAAATGTGCACTTTGTTTCTCTTACTGGCATAACCACACCTCACACCTGCTGTTTGTGATGCTCCGTTGCTCTTTGCATTCTTTCACTTCTGTGTTTTGGTACTTTTTTGAGACCTGGTTGTTACTCAATGCTTCCGCTTGCTGCTTGCCCTGATCACTCTGCCTTATCATGCATAACAACTGTGCAACAGACTTCCTGCCCTATTTTCGCCTTGCTGAACAACACTAAACAATGTAAAAGTACAACTCTAACATAACTTAATGACAACTGAAATTGAAGAGTTCTGCATTTACCAGAATCTGAAGGTATGTATAACTTAGATAAGATTAATGTTTTTCCTTGTTGTGTTCACACATGATATTTATAATGAGTTATGTAAATCAAACTAATCTCTTCTTTATTTCAGTGCCATGGATTGTGTCGCCAAACATCACATTGTACCCAGTCTCGGACTGGGAATTTGGAATCTCACCAGTAAGGCTCATCTGCTAAATGGCTTTTTTCCAGACAACCTGGCTTTGGAGTGGTTTTAGGACAAATCACCACTGAGTCAAAACAGGAAGCCAAGCAGAACGAAGCTAGAAAGTGAAGGGTCAGAGCAGAAAACCTTCAGCCTGAGCAGCAAACTCTCAGTGTGGGGACAAGGATCAACTTTTACCTGCAAAGCTAATCACAATTATACTGAATATAAGAAGACAATGAGCATTTGTCACAGTGAGTATGTACAGCTACTGTCTCAAAGCCCATATTCAACATGAACATTTGCAGGAATATGTAAAGCAAATTAAAAACAGTCTTAAGATAAAGCTTATTAATTAGCATGTTTTTTCTTTAATTCCACAGAAATTCACCTGTCATTCATGTGGAGATTCCCAAGTTTAAGACTTTAGCGTCAGACTCTAATGTGCAAGAAACATGTTGGGTCCACACTAATTTTGATGCCATGATCTCCTGGCTGATTAATGGAGCGCCACAAACAGCTAATAAGAGTAAAACACAACTCTTATTATAAGTTAAAAAAAAATTTGAGTTGGTGGAAGCAAGTAAAGCATTTAACATGCAGAGGAGAGCAAACGTGTGTCACATCTGCTGAGAAGACTATAAATATTGCAGGTAAGATGATATTAAGATTACAGGAAATTCAGGCATCTTATGACCAAAGAGGACCTAAATAATATTTTTGCTTTTTTTTTTTAATTGTCCTCCAGTTCAAACTCCATAGAAATCAGGATCTTGCCCAGATCTGCTGAAGGGAAAAACTGTCCTCATGTGACCTCTACATCACCTTACAAGTCAATGGTGATTAAAGTAAAAAAAAAAAAAAAAAAAAAAGATTTTCCTGAAGGCTGAAGGCGCTGGCCTCCTTTTAATCAGTAGTTAATTCACAGTCCCTCAGATGTACTGGAAAAAAGACAGAAAGTTTACCTGCAAAGTCAATAAGTTTATAGTCAAACTCTACCAGCTATATTTTTGGTAACAAGCTACTCTTGCTTCCCTTTTAGGCAGCTGATTTAACTTTGTTGATTTATACTTTAATAGTTTCTGTTAAATAGATTAATTGATGCCCTGATTTGTTTCACTTTAGTGGAGCTTCTTCTGGTCCAAAGTACTAAAAATCAAGAATGTGGGATACTGTTTTCCGTGATTTGAACAGCCCAGCGCGCGCTCCCGACCAGTGTTGGTCAAGTTACTTGAAAAAAGTAATCAGTAACTAATTACTGATTACTTCCCCCAAAAAGTAATCCCGTTACTTTACTGATTACTTATTTTCAAAAGTAATTAATTACTTAGTTACTTAGTTACTTTTTAAAAACACGATTTACAACCTGAAGAGGTGATAAAGCGATAGATCTTTCAGCCCAATTCTACTTTTTCTACATAATCCATCATACAAAATGTAATCAAATGGAAAAGTCTCTTTTTTTTTAAACTTGTTTTATCAGTTTTAATCTTTTAACTTTATGCATCAAGCAAAAATTTAATTATATGCAACATTCTCTGACTTGAATAAATTAGTTTAACATTGAAACCTATTTTCTACACATTCCAGCACATAAAATAAAATATTTTTTGTGTTTACACTCACTCTTTCAAATAGATGCAAGTAAAACACAGCAGAAAATAAATAAAGTCAAAGACTCAGCGGTCCTGTTGCTCTATTTTCACCTGTAAAGCAGGAGTAGGGTAGGCGGAGGGTTACCCTGGTGCAGGTGTGCGGCGGTCAGTTGAAGAATCCGCGAGTTTCTCTGTGAGTTTCCCATTATGTCGTAGTGCACTTGGTGCTTGCTTGGAAGTTTAGGGGTTTTTTTCGCTGTAAAAAGAAGTTTTCTTCCCACGCACGTGGATGCTAATGTTTTTGTCACTTTTTATGGAATCAAACTTAAAGTAAGGTCAGTACTTCCACGCTTTAAACGCTGCACGCTCATACTCTCTCCCACACTCCATATATTATCCATTGTTGATCTGCATACAGCTGTTGTCACTAACGGCGCACTCGCTTACGTCACTGTCGTGAGACATTCTCGCAAAAAATCACGGCTTTAGTAACGCAGTAACGCAGCGTTCCTACGGGAAAGTAACGGTAATCTAATTACCGTTTTTGAATAGTAATCCCTTACTTTACTCGTTACTTGAAAAAAGTAATCAGATTACAGTAACGCATTACAAGTAACACGTTACTGTAATCTGATTACTTTTTTACAAGTACAAGTTACAAGTACAAGTTACAAGTAACGCGTTACTGCCCATCTCTGCTCCCGACACAGGGAAAACCAATTCTGCAGGGGAGACCTACCTTGGCACTTGTGCAGGTGAAACCAAAGGGAAGATATGCTTCACCCTCATTGTTTTTTTTTATCATCACCACCTTATATGGTATAATAGTTACATTGATTAAGATAAGTGCCTGTCATTTGATTGTTTAAAAGTAAGATTCCAGTCCAATTTTTAAATTATACTGGCCATTTTTACTATAATAATAACAACAACAATAATAATAATAATAATAATAATAATAATAAACACCATGTTTATCCTTCAGAAAATTGCTTCGTGCTCCAAGATATTGTAATTCTCAGATTTTCCACAAGAGTGAGACAAAGCTCCATGTGCAGAAGCAGCAATATAGTTTCCACCTCTAAGTAAAAAAAAAACTACTCATGTAGTGATTTTAAGATGCCGATAAATGTGTTGGTATGCCAGTGGTGTTATGAAGAGGTGCAGTCATTTGAAAGCATAAAGACTGTTGTTGTAACTCTTCTTCTTTGCAAACATATGTAGTGTCCTTGTAAATCTGTACACTCTCTGTCTTTGAATGAAATGCATTTGTGTACTTTGGGGGTTTACAGGAATTCACAACTGGCAGGGAGAGCACTAAACACACTAAAGCTTACTATTGGCAACCTCTGAAGTGATCTGTTGTGCATTCAGACTATCCCATATTTTCACGATAACAAAAACACATTTATTAACATTGGAAATATCAGTATTTAATACACTACCAGGACACACCTTCTCATTTAATGCTTTTTCTTTATTTTCATGACTATTCACATTGTAGATTCTCACTGAAGGCATCATAACTATGAATGAACACATATGAATGACCTGACGTCCTGGCTCGTCCTTGCCATAGCATTTGTGCTGTACCTCATCGATTGCTTTTTTGCTTCCCCCGAGTTCCTGTGCTGCTCACTATTTCACCATGTACCAGGACACACTGATTGATGGTGAGTTAATGATACTTAACATTTTATCTGTCTCACTCGTTCCTCTCTGTTATCATCTCATCAAATGTTACAGGTCAGAGTATGGAGTCCATTCCTTCCAGTCAGAGAAAAGGCCTGGGGAGACTCTCAGTTTGTCCTGTAGAGGATCAGGCTTCAGTTTTCATTGCTGTGTTATCTGGTCTTATCTGATCTGGGACAGAGAACCTGCAGGAAAACCACTGGAATTGATTGTGAGCGGCTTTTTCAACTTCCAGCAGAAATAGTTATGCAAGCAGCTTGAGAGGACGTGTAGAAATCAGCAGAGATGACAGCAACAGCATGGTGTATTTGATTTGGTTTGATTCCAATTTGAGGCCAGAGGATTCTGCTATTTATTACTGTGCTAAAGAGAAACACAGTGGTTAAAGCAGCTGAAGAGGCTTTACAAAAACAGCCTGCCATCTACTTTTAGAAGATCCCAAAGGAAGCTGTTGTTCCTCAAAAACAGGGACACCGGCTGATGAGATAATTGTAAGAAATTTCTTTAATAAAAGAGATGATAATGGTAATAAGAAACATTATTTAGAAAAAAAGCAAATATTGAAAATAATGGACATGGATAAAAAAAAAAAGATTGCCACCTATCAGACATTTATTAAACCTTTTAAATAAAAATATTTTTAATAACAACAGAAGCTCCCATGCTATCACCTTGAGTACCAACCTGTTGTCTGTAGCGCTGCTGCTGCTGGATCCTGTGACTCTCACTGAAGTCGAGACACTAACAGCAAGATCACAGCACATTAAGTGTTACTGTTATTACAGTGATATTCAATGTTTTTTCAAAAACATTTAAATGTGAAAAGTTGTCACAGCTTGCCTCTTCAAATGTGCAACTCACTGAATACTGAAAACAACAGAACTGAAAAAAAGGGAACTTTTTTGGCACGGGTCTAACTGTATATCTTTGTGATTTTAGAATAAGATTTGAAATGTCAGTTTTATCTTTTATTTCCTGTTTATGTTTATTTTCTGTTTTTCTGTTTATTTTTTGAATACAAGAAATCAATTAAAGAATGTCTGAACTGATTTGACAAAACCACTTTTTTTTTTTACAATTCTTTATATCTCTTCAGATCTCTTATAATCTGTCAGCATCCATCTATATGCAAAGCAAACCACCTGATAGTCGACTATAAAGACTTGAAATCATGCCACCCGTTAAAACAGAAGAAGAAAGGTTCCCATCAGATTATCTTGAGTACCAAAATGTTCTCTGTGGCTCTGCTGCTCCTGCTGGCTGCTGGATCCTGTGAGTCTCACTGATAAAAAAATCACTGACAGAATGATCACAGCATACTGACTGTTACTGTTAAATAAAACATGTTTTCTCCACAGGTGTGAAGTGTGAACAGCTGACACAGCCAGAGTTTGTGACTGTGCAGCCAGGTCAGCGTCTGACCATCACCTGTCAGGTCTCTTATTCTCTAAGCAGCTGGAGGACAGCTTGGATCAGACAGCCTGCAGGGAAAGGACTGGAGTGGATTGGAGGTGCACATTATGGACACAACACACATTACAAAGATTCACTAAAGAACAAATTCACCATCAACTTAGACACTTCAAGCAAGACAGTGACTCTAAATGGACAGAATATGCAGCCTGGAGAAACTGCTGTGTATTACTGTGCCAGAGGGTCACAGTAATACAAAACATCAGTGGAGCTGAACACAAACCCCTCAGAGCTTCAACATGTGTAACATCCTCCACCAGTACAGGAGCCCCCAGACTACAGAACACTGTTATCTGCTGCATGTCTCTGTTTAGCACTGGAGATTGACATGATAATATATATTTTTTGAAGTTATAGTTATGAATAAAGTTTTACATTTTCAACCTTTTAGTAACTTGCTCAATTTGACATTTTTTTCTGTAATTAAGTGACAATAATATATTTTGATACTCATTTATATGATAAGTTTTTCCAGCTAAACCTTTGTGTTAAACCACCTGTAATGAAGGTTAGAATTTGTTTCATTATTTGCAAAACTAAAATAATACAAATATGTAATGATCACTAAGCAGGCAGGACTCATGCTAAAGTTCACTGAATTTATTTAAAGTGAATTAAAATACAAACTAAACCTTGGCACTAATGAAGGTCCCAGTAGGACAGGGCTGACTTTTCCACAAATCCACACTGATACAGATTCTCTCATAAAAACACCAAATAGCTCTCCTCTCCTTAGCAGAACTTTTGAGAAGGACAAAGGTCTAGGAGCCAAGTTTTGCTAACCGATGCAATGCAATGATCCAGCAAAGACTGATGATCTGACGTTACATCAAGTAGTGGCTGCAGAGAAGTACATGAGGAACAGGTGTGTGCACGGATAACCTGAGATGTGTCCCACCTCCACACAAAAGCAGCACAAAGGATAGAAAGAGAGAAAATAGAGCGAACTGAGGACAAAGCAATATTCCTGAAATATGCACATTATCTAAGTCATCACAGGGGTAGATGAGAGAAGCCTACTGTTTATTGTTTAAGATAAGATAAGATAAGATAAGACTTTATTTATCCCACAACGGGGAAATTTTTGCGTCACCTCAGCTCAGGTACAGATATCAGATGGAAATACAAAAATACAAATACGTACAATCAATGAAAAAAAGTAAGATAATACACTACATACAATGGTAGCATACACAGTATGTGATTATGGATATAGTTGGAAATATGGAAGACATAAACTATATAGCTTGATATAGCTATTGTACCACTACTATTCCTATTTATAGACATGTACACACACACATGTATACACTAAATAGACATATGTATACATATACATACATATATACCTGCACATGTCCATACACAT